CCCCCCCCCCCCCAAATCACAACTGGACGTGTAATCACAATTGTTCCAGGACACAGCTTGACATACAGTCAGTCCCTCCCAGGTACAGCCTGACCCACAGTCACAACCACTCCCAGATACAGCCATTACCTAACAATCGCAACTGTTTCTGGTCACAAATGCTCCAAGGCACAGACAAACCCATGGTCACAGTCATTCAAAACACCCCCACCCCCGGTCAGTCACCCCCAGATACACCCTGAGAGACAGCCGCAGCCTAATGTACAACCATTCCAGGACAGTCAGATGCACAGTCAGAATCACCCCCAGAAACAGCCAGATACACAATCACAACAACTTTTGGTCTCAGTCGGATGCCTAGTGACAGTCACCCCCAGATACACCCCGAGAGACAGTTGCAGCCCAATGTACAACTGTGCCAGAACACAGCCAGACACACAGTCACCCCCAGCTACAGTTGGGGTCATCTCCAGCAACAGCTGGACACGGTCATAACCAGCCACCCCACAGGTACAGCCAAAGTTGGGCCCAGCTACAACTGGTTGCAGTCATAACAGCTCTCAATAACAACCAGACACACAACACCCCCCTCCCAGGTAAAGCCAGACACAGTTGCAGGCCCCGCCATGCAGCTATAGCTGAATACACAGTCAGACCCCCCAGCTACAGTCAGATGCACAGTCGGGGGTGAGGAGGACCAGCTACAACCGGACACATGGTTGGGGGAGCCCCGGCTACAGCTGGATACACAGTCAGGAGGTGGTGGGGGGGAGACCAGCTACAACTGGATGCATGATTGGAGGAGCCCCAGCTACAGCTGGACACAAAGTCCACCTCTCTCCAGATATAGCCAGACACAGTCTGCACCCCTCTAGCTACAGCCAGATGCACAGTCGCACAGGAGTCAGGCACAGTTGCCAGGAGCCCTTTATTAGGGGCAGGTACAACCAACCCTGTGACCCCCATTGCCAGGACAGCCGTGGGACCAGATGGCATTGCTCTTGGCCAGGGCAGCATCGAGGTCTAGCTCTTGGCCCTGCACCTGCAGCCCATGCAGGCAGCCCTGGAAAGGGCCCGGCCCTTCTGCTGCCTCTGGGGGGGAGTCGGGGGTTAGAGGTTATGGACGGAGGACCCCTGTGTCCTGGGCTCCTGCCCCCCACGAAAGCCCCACACCCATAGCCCAGCCCCTTCCCCCTGTACCACTGGCTGTTCCTCCCCCACCCCATGGGCCTGCCCTCACTCCCAATAGCCCCATCCTCCCCCTAGTCCCGCCTCCATCTCTTATGCCCCTCCCGCAGTCCCATCGCCTCCCACTCCTTATGCCCCTCCCCCACCCTCATAGCCCCTCCCCCACAGCCCCTCCAACCAGAAGGAGAGGGGCATGGAGGGGATTTGGGGGGGGTCACTGGGTGGGCTTGCAGGTCCCAAGGAGGGTGGTCATAGAGGGGCTGAGGAGGGTCCCAGAGGAGGACAGAGGGGTGGGGGTCTCAGGGGGAAGTGAGGAGGGGCTGGGGGG